TTCATCGCGTTCAAAGGATTAAACCATTCAGGAGGATGCCTCAATGGCTTTGAAATGGAAAGTGATAAGGAATCCCAAACTCCACTACAAGAAAAGGGGGTTGAAACATGGTGGAAAGTCTGGAGGAAAGGAATGTCAACACCTGAAACAGTGCAATGGGTGACCAAGAAACCCTATTTTTAAAAGCAGACCATACCAATTTATTCAATACAAGGCATGGCAGGGTTGGGCAGCTATTCCCTTCTGCTTTACCCATGTAGTCCATGGGTGGTACGGTCCAGAACAAGCATATTTATGAATTCCATCACAAGAATATCCTTCAAGCAATCTTGTGGAACACCCCATCTCAACAGTGTGCATTGCATGGCCATGGAACATAATAAGAAATTTGACATGGCTGAACATTGCAGATTTTAAAGGTTTAAAAATACTTGGTCAGGTACCACTCACCTCAGAGTGGGATCTAGTATGAAAAAGAAGGGGTATATATATATATATATATAAATACATATATAAGAAAAGGTAACTTTCACAGTCGCATGAAAGAGTGAAGGATGGCAACAGGTGAATGTACGAGATGTAGTCCCAGTGCTCAACAGACAAAGTACCTCCAACTGATGGCAGTGTAGACATGCAGGGGAAAAAAGAGAGGTGCATGATAGGAGTGAAGACACCAGGAAGTGAAGAAGGATACGAGGAAGAAAAGGCCAATCAAATCACAATCTAAACCCAATAGGTAAGGGTTGAAGGAAAAAATAACAGACAAAGTGGAGTAAGGGGAGGAAATATGTTGAAAAAATAACTTAGATAGGCCTGGCACATTCTGCAGTAGAGGCCTGGAATACACTCCATGAGAAGGTGGAGGAAATCTAAAAAAATCAAGGTTATCTAAAAACTGGTTCTGCCATTACAGGAGGAAGATGAGCAATACTGGGAGCAGGTTGGAACCCAAATAACAACAGATAATAATATTAACAATAAAAGCATACAAAATCCATAACAGTATAAAGTCTTATTTTTCCAAAGTTGGCTAACTGTAGTGCAAATGTTTGGGCCCCCAAACTCAAGACAAGGACCAAAGAAAGTTAGTTCATAGGACGATCAATCTCCCAACGAAGTAAAGCTGAAAATCTTTCTGCACGGTACTGTGTAAAGTGCTAATAATAGAACATATAACCTCCGAAGTGGTTAGGGAACATTCATAATGCAAAATGAATTTGCAGAAACAATAAAAGTTTTTATTTTGTTGTTGTTTTTTCTAATGAAATAACAAGTTCCATAACCAGGTAGAAATATAAAATAATTCCACTTTGGATTAACTCAAGAAGTTACAAATATCACTATTGTATAATAATGAGTAAATTTTTGAAAGAAATTAATACAAAGATACTGAAAAATATTAAAATAAAACACTTGGAGTGAGCACAAACTAAATGTTAGAACAAGAGTACTGCCAAAAGAGAAGTTATGGTCTGGTAAAATGTGTAACAACAGTGTGTTGTACTTTCACTGGTGGAGGGTTGTCACAAGAGATATACATTGAAAAGTCATTTCCAATGGAGGGGAAGCAAAAGGCTTGTGGCATGCATGAAAATTTTTTTGCATATAGAGGGCATCACTGAATGATAATAGCTATTTATGTAAGTGGAGGTAATTTAATATGTAGGAAAATATTTTTAACAATTTCATTCTCATGAAACAATAATTGGAGAATTCAGAGAAATTATTCTCTGTCTACAGAGATGTACATGTAAAAGAAGCAATGAACTGATATCCACATATATTATACAAGGTATCACAAGGTAATTATTTATCTCAGAATGTTACTTGATTCTAAGATAATCAATTCACATTACATTATTTGAACTAATGATACTTCACTCATTCAAGTGCCAGCAATCTTGATAACTGTTAAAAGCTTAACTGATTTGGTTAGTTATCTGAAAAAATGTCTATCAATTATTTTTACTGGCTCTTGAGGTAAGAAAACTATAAACTTGTAGCTGATTTCCTTGAGAATGTTCCCCCGCTGGGACAATGCTAAGTTTATGGAGTTACAATGCTAAAATCTGGGATTCAATTCCCCATGGTGGAAACAACAGATAGCCAAATGTGGCTTTACTCTAAAACAAACAAGCCTTGAAAATGAAATTTCATAATACCATAACTGGGCTATTCAACATAATGCATAGATGCAATACAGAAAAAAAAATAATAATCAGAAGAGGTGACAACCAGAAATAATGCTTTTGTTAATATTCCTAATTACAAATTCAATATGAAATTATCTTAAAGGCATAACATACCAAAACCTAATATACATAATTGTCACTTAAACATGCTCTCACTAAAAAGTGCAATTAAACATATGTCTCTACATGTAAACATTATTTTAATACTTTAAAAACTGTTGAAAACCTAATAAAATTTACAACTGAGAACTAAATTATTTTGTATGTATTACCACAAAACGTACTGAAAAGTAATTTTATTACTCTGATCTTTTGGAGAGAGAAAATGATACATACAATGGAAGTACACACAAAAATTATCACTTTAGAGGTTTATATTTTAAATTCTCTTACAAAATATTTGTTTACTACATGTTTGCAGTTTTTTTTACAAGTCCATAGATTTCATTCTTCACAAAGAAAGAATAAAATAACACAGTGATTAATAACTTTTATAAAATAGTCATCTGTTCCATCATACAGCAGAAAAAGAACTATAGCCCTAACCCATTTTATCACATTTAGAACTATATCTATTTGGCATACAAAAACATTAATGAGCTATTCATTACTTTCAATTTTACTATCAACATAGTTCAAGTATTCCTTTCCGATAGTTAGCATGCATAGAGACGTAGATATGGCAAACAAAGTACGTGCAGCAACACTGTCAGGCAATAAAGTCTTAGTCACAGCCCACAATAAGACAGAACTAAAGTTGAAAACTAGAGCACCATAGACACTGTACATAATCCTGTAATAGGTAGGAGCCTTTGCCAAGTGTTTACGACTGTACAAGTAAAGACCTGATCCCAGATGAGAGTTGAAGATCAGACTGTTTACTACAGCTGGACTGTGCTTGGAGAAAAGCCTTTCATTGCAAAGAAATAACCATATTAAACTAGTTTACACTTGATACTTTGACTAAAAGATATTACAAGATACTTTTTTTTACCTATGTTTTTTGCTAACATAAGCTGAATGACTAAACTTTAAAAAATCAACTAAAATATGAAACATCAGAGGTAAAACTAAAACATATCTCAGATTCATTAAATGTTTCAAGTATTAATATAGTAATTGTTTTTTTTTTTATTATATTAGTAATTTGTATAGAGTTCATGGACTCTACAAATGATTTCCTCAGAGATATTGCAAGGAAATAGCACACGGAGCCCATGCCCCGATTCTATACGACAGTGCCTTGAAAAAAATCTGAATAGAAAACCATGACCAATATCATACTCAAAATTCCCTCACCTATGGGCATGAGCCATGAATCTTTTCAGTACCTAGCAATGCCTCTGGACTTAATAATGCATAACCGATTTAGTGTGAAAAACTTTCATAAGTTTATAGTAGATGGACAACAAAATACTGTATTTTTTTACTTCATATTTTGAACATGTACAATATACAAGTGAAGAGTTTTAAAATAATAACTTGCATACATTTACAAGTATCCAAATAACAATTTCTACAATATACTGTAGATTTAAATATTGTTCCGTAATCTGAGAAAATAACTGCTTAAAGCTTTTCCCTGGTATATGAGTAATTTACCAAACATAATGTTAGTTAAAATATTCTATGTATGTACAGCTGCATATGTATTTCCTATACGAGTTCTTAACTAAACAATGAGAATCTTTATGTTTTTTCTTAATCATCTATACAGTTCTAACCACTTTGCATTTTTTGAGCTTCTTTAGAATAGGCAGCAGAGATTGTATTTACTACATAAACACGTAGTTCTAATTTTTTATTTAAAAATATATTTATAAAAGTAAAAGCAACTTACATGCAGCTTCTTTAACATCAATCTCATGCCTCAACTTGTGAATAAGCATGTTCTCTTTTATTCAGAGTAAGATATGCCCTCCCTCCCTCCCAGCACGAAAAGCTAGCTCTGTCACTGATAGCCATCTAAACTTCTCCCTTTCCAAATAACTTATTACCATTGAAACCTAACCCAGAAACTTCAAAATTACTTCTATAATAATTATTTTCCAAGTCAAGTGAAACTTTAGTAATTCTCATAATATCAAGATCCTTGATTCCAACTGAAGCCAGAATTACTCAATTTTATATTTTTCTGCTTCTAGCATTTGAATAAGAGCACTACATCATACATGCATATGCCTATCATGCAAAGATTTTATAAAAATCTTTCTAGCATGCCAAGTTTCTACCATAGATTTCATTTGAAAGGTTTGGTCTACACTACATCTGATGGCAAGTTATTCCATAAGCTAATCACTCAATTACAAAAATAAAACTGCCTCAACTGGAGTCTACTGTGTCTTTTTCCTAATCTTAAACTCGTGTCCTACCATCTACACAAGATTATCTAGGATATTTTTAAGGTAGATAACTAAAAAGGCAAGAGGACACAAGTTTATGATATGAAAAAGAAAAGTTAGGCCCCAGTTAAGACAGTTTTAATTTCCTAACAGGGTGATTGATTTACTGAATGAGTTGCCATCAGAAGTAATGGAGGCTAGCCCTCCAACAGAATTTGAGAAGGGAGTTGATGATTTCCTGAAAAATGAAGAGCGAGTTTAAATATTTACTTTTCTCAAAGGTCACTGGGCATGGGCAGCCTTGATGAACCAAATGGACCCTTGTCATCCATACGTTATGTTACATTGAAAAACGTACAAATGACTTCCTTCATTATTCATTCAATATTTCTATGTTTACAACCTAAAATCATAATTGTCTTACACCAGCTAATTCATTTTCTAAAAAAGGTTAAAAACTTTATAGACAGCTATGCCTAGATCTTCTTAATTGATCAACTTTACCTAGAGTTTCACCTCTAAGTTCATAAGAATAATTCATGTTGAGATAATAAAAGTATGGTTATGCATATTATGGTTCAGATTAAAAAGTCTCCATATGTTTTCTAAAACAGTTGCCTTGTAATATAATTTAACTTTAATACACATTTTGAATAAAACATATCAAATTATACACGATTTCTCTTTCTTTATGGTGATATACTGATTTTTAAGATCAATGTTGTTTTCTATTCAATTAAAATAAGATCCTTATTCACAAAACCGTTAAACTTTGTAAAATATACGATTACTGACAGTGACACGATGTTATGAGCTTAAAAGTTAAAACTAAAAGAAAGGCTTTCTTCATTGCACCGATTTATTTTATTTTTACATAATTTGACATACCTTAGAATCCTGCATCAATTACTGAATTAGCAACAATAGTCAATACATTACAAATAACACGTTAATTTAATTAACTCACCAAGCAGAAACCTCAGGACTAAACTCAGTAACTGAAAATACTGAATAACTCAGGGCTCCAACTAAAGGTACATAATATGAATATACATAATAGGGAGTAAATGGTTTTGTCTTAGGTACTTTTAACCTAATCCAGTCTGGCAACAAATAACGAAATTTACTACTTGCACCCGAGTTTCCTTCACAACTCCTACAATTGGCAGACATTTTCTATCTATGCAATACAAGTTCGTGTGGAGAGTTTTTACAAAATCTACTGTGCAGGTCTTTATGAGAAAATTAATTTTGTTTTCTTTTTTACTGTAATTTCTTTTCTCTCTTTGCTACTTGGCAGGCTGTAGGCTTTTTAAAATGCTACAACTTGTATTTGAAAAGGAAACATTTGATTTCAAAAATAAACTATATATATATATATATATAGTGAGTGAGAATAACAGCCTTAATATTGTTGCGTCAGCGAGGTCACGTGACTAGTATCTAGCCATGTCCTTCTCGAACCTTCGTGAATTATCGGGAGACTACTAGATTGGGGGTAGACTGGTATATGTAAGATGGTCACAACGTGACGGAACAATGAGTAATTGAACTGCAGTCAGAGAGTGTGTAATTGAGTATTGTTGAAGTCGAGCACGTGAGGCGTTTGTTATAGCGCGACTGTTGAAATTAAGTGTATCGCAAAGTTATATTCAGAAAGAATAAACCAGTTTTATTAAGAAAGGACTTGTGTCGCTAAAGTTTCGTCGGAACGAAGTTATTTAAAAAATTAACAAACAGAGACGTAACAAATTGGTGTCAGAAGTGGGATAGAAAATAAAAAAGAAGAAGAAGAAGATGGAAACGAAGGCGGCAAATCAAAC